TAAGTGCCAGGCTGGGATTATGGCAGCCTGCTGAGTAGCATCCTGATGGCTTGTCACGGCTGCTCTTGTTCTCATTTCCATTCCACAACATAAGGATTGAAGGCTGACTTTTCTACCTTGGGGTTCTGGGGACCTGAGTTCTGCTCTCATAGGCCTCCCAGGGACTTCAGCGCTACACGGTTGCCAGAAACTCTTGAATAAAAATACACCCTGTGCTTGTAATGCCAATTATCAGTCATTTCTCCAGCCTCTCCAGGTGCAGTGGGCAGCACATTAGCATGTTATCAACATGCAAGGGGCTCCTTGGTACCTCTTGTTCTTCATGCTTTTTCTGCAAGCCGGATGGAAAAGCCCAGATGCATTGAAAGGCTTGTGCACTGCACAGAGGGTGAGGACAGTCCTGCCCTCTCACCTTGGGCATCCCTCACTTCCTCCTTCTGGTGTCATGCCTGTCGCTCAAACAAGGTCTTGGATAGTTTTAAACTCACTCTTTGTCTTTCCTTTTGCAGAATGGTGGAATATTCCCTGGACCTCCAAAATATTAACTTGTCTGCAATCCGTACTGTCCGTGTCCTGAGGCCCCTCAAAGCCATCAACCGGGTGCCTAGTAAGTCGTTCATGCTTAAATTTGACACTTTGCAAATGGGCCTTAACAAAAATGCTAATTATCTTACCCATTACAAAGATAGATTCCCCAATTATCACCTCTAATATCATTATCTCATAGACACCAACCTCTCCCCTTCATCCCCCCTCTGTTCTAAAATCTGATTTGTCTATTTTATATGTGTTCACTTTTTTTGATTGTATCCCTTTGGTATATATGGTCATGCCAGTTTTCTTCCACAATTTGATCTGAGGAAGTGGATCTGGCCCACAAAAGCTCATCACCTAATAAACCATCTTGTTAGTCTTTAAAGTGCTGCATAGTCCTGCCTTTTGTTTCAGCAAGACCAGACTAACACGGCTACATCTCTATTACTATTCCCTCTCACTGTTACTGCCCAGACTAACACGGCTACATCTCTGTTACTATTCCCTCTCACTGTTACTGCACTTCATCCACGCTTCACCCTGGTCTGTACTGTTGTTAACTCACTCGGCTGGGCCTTTGGGATCTCTTCCCCCATTGATTGTCCTGCCCCAGACATCCAGGTAGCTGGATTGATCCTTTAGCCTGTAAGACATGTATGTAGGGTCTGTATGTGTGTGTGTATCATCAAAATGGCTCCTAGATTTCAGTCCCAGCTGGTGGGCCGCTGGCTGGCTCAAGAACTGGGAAACAGGTTTGGGATACTTTGCCTTCTAGATGCAGGTTACCAATCTAGCCTCCGTTTGGCGGTGAGTACCAAAGAATTCAGAGATGCTGCGAGAATGGGAAACAGAATCACTAGTTCTAGTCAAGTTATACTTTAGATTCTGAGCCTAGCCCTTCATTTTGTTTCCAAGATCCTCCTCCACCCTCCAAATCCCTTCCCCTCTTCTCAAAGGGTGGTGCAGTTGCTGCCCAGTTGGGTTGTGGGGGAGGAGGGGAAGGGTATGAACAGTGAGGCTACACCTAGCATCATTCTGTCTATCATGCCTAACTGATGAGCAAAGTGCTGAGATTTGGTAATAGAGCAAGAAATGTTTCTGTCTCATGTAAGAAGGTGGAGGTGGGGGAAGACCTGTAGAGTCCTACTGAGGTGTTTGGGGGATGGACGAGCAGTGCAATCAGATAGGAGCAGGAGTGAGGGGTTTAGCTCTAGTGCCTCCTGCGTGATTCTTCACTTTCCTCTAATTTAAAAATATACCAGTCCAGCTCTGCGTGAGGGTGAACAACAATAGCCTTATTTTATCTATTTCTTGCTGCGCACTTTCTCTTTTCCTTCTTTTCTTGGTTCCCACCTCTGCAGCTCTGTGTATATGCAGCATGTATGAGTCAGGGCTGTGAGCTCTACTGGGGATTGAGCTGTCAGGGTCTGATGGGCCGCATCTGAACCTGGAGGCACAAACAGCTTTTCTACAGCTCTCTGGTCCAGCTAAATGGCTTCCCTGTTGGTTTGGCTTAGATCCAAGAAATGGACCCACCTTGGTGTTAATTTCACTGTGAAGGAAAGGGAGTGAGGAGGGGTACTATGCACCAGATCCAGATGCACATCTGCTATCTTCATATGACACTTCGCACTTTCCTTCTTTTCCATGTATCAGTAGCCACTGAAACCAATGGATGCTGACCTCTGCTATGTGAACGGGTATAATCTTTTATGACCCTGCCCCATCTTCTGTGGCAGGGGCCGGGAAACAGAAACTAACCTCTTAACTGTGTGCCATATCTTTACAGTATTACTCTCCACTTCTCTTTCTTTCCCTTTCCCCTCTTCCACTGCATCTCCTCTTTCTCTAGTCAGTTTTGATACCTATAGAGCACAGTATCACAGGTATCATTGTGGTTATAACAGAGGAGTTGATTTGATTCAGTGGGCCAATTTCATGCTATTCAAGTCAGTGGCATTACACCAGCAACAAATTTGTCCTACTGGGACTATGAGGACACAAACCTACTCGGTGAAAACCAGTTGTCAGGCAAGATATTGTGACACTTTCAGCATCTCTTCCATTTCTCTCCAGGTTTTATACTGATTTCTTCTTTCTTACCATATAACAAAACATCTCTTCCACTTAAAGGTCCTTTGCTCCCACTTTTATCAGGCTGTTGGCAGTGACCAAGACCTCCTTAGGGCTCTCTCTCAGTGCTGAGGCCAGTCCCATTCTACCCCTCAACATTCCCTTCTCCAAAGCTGAGGGGAAGTTTATTATAGGTGGGAATAGGCCAGAGACTGAATGAAAGAAACCCAGCTGACAGGCTGTCTCCTGAGGATATATGTGCCACCGACATTTTAATTAGCTGGGTCCAGCAGTAAAAACAAAGCTAGACAGATCAAAAGGAAGCCCTGCCTTTTTATCTCTTTCATACCTGTATAAATCAGGAATAACTCAGCTAGAATCAATGCAGTTACACTTGGGGAAAAGCAGTGTGAGATCAGAATCAGGCCCACAATGACTTGATTTTTGAAGTGAGAAAGGGCCATTGTGATAATCTAGTCTGACCTGCATAACACAGGCCCCTGATTTTCACCCAGCTACCCTTTTATAGAGCCCAATAACTTGCCATTCAGCCATCTCTAGGCTTTTCTTCCCTACATCAGTCCTTCTTCTGAACTCTACTTCCCGCCACTATGGCAGTATAGAACTAATACTATTTTAGTTTCTATTCTACTATCATATATTTCTATCTCTGTCTGTCTACATAGATATATGGCTATATGTGCAGTAGTTCTGGATGAAGAGACACTTTCATTATTAAATGAAAAAATAAATTTCCTTGGATAGGAAGACTGTCCTGTGGAGTGAAAACTGGCTCAAAGCCTGTAAACAAAGGCTAATGATAAATGGGAATGTGCTGAGGTAGACGCAAGTGTCTAGTGAGGTACAGCCAATATCACCGAAAGGCCCTTTTGTCAGAAATCTTATTGAATGCCTTTTAAAAATTCTTCATTAATGATGTGGAAGAAAGAGCAAAGCACATTGAGGAGATCTGCAGATGATAAGAAAATGGGAGGAGTTGCAGACACTAGGCAGGACAGAGAAAAAAGTACAAAGGGACGGCGAGAGAGTGGAAACATGGGCAGTAAGTAACAAAAGGAGAAAATTGGTGCGGTTTGGGGGATGGAATGATCTGAAATATGAGTGTGCAGTGTGAGGGAGGAGGACTCTGGGAGATAGCAATGGTGAGCAGGGCCGGCCTTAGGGAAAATGGTGCCCTGGGCAAACTTGTGTTTTGGTGCCCCTCACTTGTGAGCATAGCACCACCCATTTCCCTGGCACCCCTGGGCTTCCCAACCCCTGCACCTCCGTCCTGTGCTCCTGTTACCACTAAACCCTGCATTGTGCCCACTTTGCTCCTAACTTCTACACAGTGCCCCCTTCATCCCAACCCCTGCACTTTTCTCCCACCCCTGCCCCCAGCCCCAGCCTTGCGCTTCCAGCATGCCCCACCACATTTCCCCCCTGCCCAGTACCCTCCACCCCCTTTGCCCAGCAACAGCCATGCCCACTTGCCTCTCCCCCTCTGGCTACGGTGTCCTGTGCATGGGCCCTGTTTATCCAGCCCCAAGGCCAGCCCTGATGCTGGGCCATATTTTCAAAAGAACTTAGGGTCCACATTCAGGCAACTAAATAAGGGGCAGACTTTCAAAAGAGCTCAGCACCCAGTGTGCACCTAGTAAGGTAAGAATATCTGGCTGTGTGGTTTGGAAATTGTCTTCTCAGTCCAGGGTCCTGCACTTGTCTGAAAATGTCTGAGCTTGAGAGTGAGAGCAGGCAGCCAAAATGAGACGAGTTTGCAATGTGCAGTGGCAGTGTACAAGGCTGTTATAAATTTGGGCTTCATATGCAAAGGTTGCCACAGTGTAGGAAGGTCGAATGGGTATAAACCGGCCTGGAGTAAATCTAGCCTGGATGCTTAGAAACCTTCTTTTAGTTTCCAAGGAGTGAGATTCTGGATCTGCCTTCAAATAAGAGTGCAGGTTGAACCTCTCTGGTCTGGAACTCTTTGGTCTGGCAACATGCATGGTCTGGTGGCCAGTGGCCGGGGCCAGAGAGCCCTGCCTGCCAGAGTGGGGCTGGCAGCTGGAGTGGTACTGTGGCACCCTGGCAGCTGGGGGCCGCAGAGCCCAGCAGGTGGGCTAGGGGCAGCGTGTTGGCTGGAGTGGCAGGCTGGGAGGTGAGCTAACAATGTGTAAGGAGGAAAGAGGCCTGACCTCTCCTGTTCCAGCAAACTCCCTTGTTTCGGACTGCACAAGTCCTAAGGGTGCCAGATCAGGGAGGTTCAACCTCCACTGGGGCAAGCAACCTGACCGTTCTTAAAATGGAGCTTGATATGTTTATGAATGGAATGATATGCTGGGGTTGCCAGCATGGAAATGGACTCGTTGACCCAGGAGGTCCTTTTCAGTCCTTTCTTCCTAATATTCCCTGTCTACATGGCCTTAATCTAGGGCATTGTTTTCTGATCATGGTACCATACGACCAGCATATATTAGAAGGAATGCATAAAAGAGCATACATAATGATCAGGAAGCTGGGAGGATTTGATTGATGAGGGAGGATTTTTGAAAAGCAAAATAGGTCTAGCTTGGCTAAGTAGGGATGTCCGAAGGGAATGGACATGATAACAACCCACAAATAATTGCTGTGTGTATACATGAGAGATTCAAGCCCAACTGCTTGGTTATAACTTAGAGTAATGGGATAAAATTAATGAAGAAGAAATTTTAGAATGAATAACAGGAAGAAAGAGCTTCCCAGGAGTAGTCTTTTAAGGGAAGTGAGGGAAACCCTATGTTTTGTATATGACGTGATATACAATAATAAATGGTATAGATGAAGTATGGTGGGAGATTCTGCTACCATAAGAACAAGAGGGCATTCTATGTAAAGAAAAGGAAATACCTTTTCACACAGTGCATAACTAAACCATGGAATTCAATGCCACAAGAAGTGATTGAGGCCTAAACTTACCAAGATTCAAAAGGAGATTAGACATTTGTATGGATGTTAAAAATA